AGATAGAGAGAGAGAGAGAGAGAGAGAGAGAGATTAAGCGCGCGTGAATATGTGCGTCTGTGCGTCTCTCAGCAGTATTCAGCAGCAGCATCTACTAATAGTAATAGCGAATCTTTAAGTTGAACTGCTTCAAGAACCTGGCAACTGAGAAATGTCATGTAGCTTTTCAGCTGCACTATTTTATTGATAAATTCACGGGGAAGCGCTGATGACAAGTTTCTGTCTGCATGTGTGCGCGAGTGCGTGTCTGTACTGTGTGTGCGTCTGTTAGAGAGAACGAGAGAAAGCGTGATTTCCGTACATAAAAAAGGTTGAAGACATGAAAATAGTTTGTCATTTTTACCCTATTGTTTGTTATATTTATTTGCTCAATGTCTTCTGGGGTTTTGGTTCTTTTACTGTTGTAGATGGTATAACAAAAATTGTACATCTGCAGCACTTTTGTATCAACATAAGGTAAGACTTGTTTTATGACCTGCCGCCGTGCAGTGAAAGGCATACCAAAGAGTATAGAAGACCTTCTTCTATACTCTTTGGGCATACATTATCGGTTTAACAAATTGTTTAATGATGTTAAGAGTTGATTTTGTACCTTTATATATCCTGCCTTTACTTCACAGAGAATAAAGTATGTGTTTGATAGTACATCATTTTAAATTGCTCTTAATTTTCCTATCTGGATGCTGATGATGTCATATCCCACGTTGTTGTTCTTACTGTAATCCTCATAAAACATTTGTGGTTTGATAGCGATGTTATTGTCGTATTATTGCCATTGCATAGAGTACAGTTTGGTCATTATATAACTTGTGCAATAATTTGTTTTGCCAACAAACGTTTTATTTGGGAAACAGACCTCACACTGTAAAAGTTTTACAAGCATTTGAATTGACATTTAATATAGCCAATGGATGCAATATTTTGTGGTGCTATTTAAGGGTTGTTATTCATTGTCTGATGTGTTGCAGCTTTTGGGGTTGGGGATGTGGGCCCTGAATTAATTCTCATTTAAGATTTAATTTATTATAAGTATAATATAATGAAACTATTTTGACTAATTTTCAACTAATATACAATAGTTTTCTGCCTGTCTTGTGATGGAAAACAAGTTGATGTGCTGCTGATCTCCATAAGCTGACCTTAAATTTAAAATTTTTGTTGCATGAGCTTCTTTTCTGAAAGTGGGGCTGACAGAAAATGGAGAGATCACCACTGTTTTGATGTGAACTTAATCGAGTCAGTGAAATCAGTCACTAACTGAAATGGAACCAAATGAGATCCTGCTCCTGTTGCATACATATTGTTAGGGTTATGTTTAGTTTTTGTTCTGTTTTCATTGTGTTTTCAGTTTATCTGTTCCCCTGTGACCTAGTTTTACTTTGGCTCCTAATTGTCATTTCGTTCACCTCTGTTTGATTAATTAACTCATTAGTTCTTTCGTTTGCTCCCCTACAAATACTCTTAGTTTTCCCTTAGTCGGAGTCCGTTCTCGTTTATGTAATGATGGTCTACTTGCCTGTCTCTTGGATTTGTTGATTAAAATACCTTTTGTATATCTCCTTCGTCGTCGTGTGTGTGTACCTCACCAACCCCTAACAGAAGAACGCACCATAACGATGACTGCAGCTGAGGATGCGCTGTGGGGTTTGCTGCAAGACGGTCAGAGGTTGGAGCGATATGTGGAGGGTTTCCTCGAGCTCTCCAACCGGGTGAGTTGGCACGACGCAGCTCTAGGTGCATGCTTCCTGCTGGGGTTGGATGACGAAATAATCCG